TGGCAGTAGTAGTGGTGGTGACTGACTTAAATGATTTTAACATGGTTAGTTTTGATGTTACTTCCTTGTTTACGAAAGTTCCTGTTGATGATTTATTAAGTTTCTTATCTGAAGAACTCGTTAACTATGATTTACCATTGCCAGTTCCTACTATCATTAAACTTATTAAACTTTGCATTGTTGATACAAAATTTGTATTTAATGATAAGTTTTACACTCAGAAGTTTGGTATGGCAATGGGAAATCCTCTTTCACCTGTTCTTAGTAACCTATACATGGAATTTCATCTGATAAGTTAATTACAAAATTGTTATTAGCATGCTTTGTCCAATCACTATTTTCAATTAAAATGTCTAATTTTCTTTGTAGTTTCCTCTTGAGTTCATTACAATTTCTTCTGAGTTTATTATAGCAATGATCCAACATGCTGTGTTTCCATTCTGATGGAATGGCCTGATTAAAAGAGTATTTTTTGTTTCTCAATATTTTGAATGCTTCCTTCTCCTGTATTTTAGTTATTTCAATATGTTTCTGAAGAACAATTCTCATAAAATCATCAAAAGGACGATCTCTCATGTCAAGGAGTCTATTGGGTAAAAGAGATTTGGGCAGAACTTGTTCATTGCATTGTTGATGCAAAATTTGTATTTAATGATAAGTTTTACACTCAGAAGTTTGGTATGGCAATGGGAAATCCTCTTTCACCTGTTCTTAGTAACCTATACATGGAATGTTTTGAAACAAGGTTGCTTAACACAATCCTCCCTAACAGAGCTAAATGGTTCAGATATGTTGATGATATTTTGTGTCTTATGCCCAAAAATGTAGATATACACCATTTCCTTGGAAAATTAAATAGCTTAGCCCATTCTATAAACTTTACTGTTAAGTTTGAAGAAAATAACTCATTGCCTTTTCTAGATGTTTTAATTATTAAGGGTAATAATGAATTCAAATTTAAAATTTACAGAAAACCTACAAATAACTGTTCCTATGTCCACTATTATTCCTCGCATCAAGATAGAGTCAAACTGTCTGTTTTCTCATCAGTGTTTATGAGAGCTTTACGAATTTGTAGTCCTGAGTTCATAGATGAGGAAATATCCAAAATTTATGAAATAGGTAATGATTTAAAATACCCAAGAAATGTAATTGATAAATCTTTAAAGTTGCTAGAAATACTTTTTACAATCCAAAAAGGGACAACCAGCCTTATTCAACTAAAAATATGTTGGTTCTCCCTTACCATGAAAACTTGGTTGATATGCCTTCTCTTCTTAAGACTTTTAATATTAAAGTTGTATTCAAAAATCTTGATACAGTAAAAAAAACTTTTGATAAAGAATTCCCCCCAAAATACTGATGGATTTGTCTATAAGATTCCTTGTAAAATTTGCGATAAAGTTTATTACGGTCAAACTGGCAAAAATCTCGAACTAAGATTAAAACAACATAAATATAGCATTAGAACTGGACAAGATTCCGATGCTCTATTTATTCATGTAAGAGATTTTAACCATCCAATTGATTTTCAAAAAGTTGAGAAAGCAGTATCAAGCAAGTCCATGGTCGACAGGAATATAATTGAATCTTTTTTCATAAAAAGCAGTTTTGACAATAATATGAATATTTCCTTTGGTTTATATAAATTAGATCCATTTATAATTAATAGAATTTGGGAAGAATTTAATAATACACTGGACAAATAATAATTTTTAATTTTTCTTGTGTAGAATAGTTTGTGGGTGAGTTTTGCGATCTTGGTTAAATAGCAACGCTCATCTTGCTATAAAGGACAAGTGAAAACTTGTGTATGCAATAATTTCTCCAAAACCATTCTGAACCTAACGAAAAATATATATTTGATTGTGTTAGTTTAGTACTAAATTACTGTAAACGTATTTAAAATATATTGAGTTGGGTTAGGCTAAAATAAATTGCTCTTGTTATAATAAGGTTAGGTAAGTTTTCTAAGATACTTTTGGTGCAAAATTAAAAATTTTTACATTAACATTAATGAGAAAAATATATCTTTAAACGTATAAGAGAAAATTTCAGAAAAAAATTAATTTTAAATGAGTTCTTGCTAATTGACCAGTTTTACATATTCGGCACGACATATATAAATATATATCTATATATTTATATATATATATATATATATATATATATATATATATATATATATATATATTATAATATATGTATATTTATATACATATATATATATATAGATCGCAGAACTTGCGATCTTGGCTTAAATAGCAACTGTCATCTTGCCATATAGGACAAGTGAAAATTTGTGTATGCAATAATTTCTCCAAAATCATTGTGAACCTAATGAAAAAAATATATTTCACTGTGTTTGTTTAGTATTAAATTATTGTAAACAAATCTAAAATATATTTAGTTGGGTTAGGCTAAAATAAATTGTTCTTGTTATAATAAGGTTAGGTAAGTTTTCTAAGATTCTTTTGGTGCAAAATTAAAAATTTTTACATTAACATTAATGAAAAAAATATATCTTTAAACGTATAAGAGAAAATTTTAGAAAGGACTTAATTTTAAATGAGTTCTTGCTAATTGACCAGTTTTACATATTCGGCACGACATATATATATATATATATATATATATATATATATATATATATATATATATTATATATATATATATATATATATATATATATATATATATATATATATATATATATATATATATATATATATATGAAAGAAATCACAATAAAACGCGTTGTTAAGTAAGTTTATTCAGGCATACACAAGTACAGTTATACAGAGTATCATACATAGCAGCATATGTGTAGGGAACCTAGGATAACCCAAAACAGTCCAACAAAATGATTTATTTCCATTGGGGTCCTTAAACATACACAAGCATCCGCAGTGAGTAGGATTCGAACCTACGCGGGAAGATCCCATCTGATTTCTAGTCAGACGCCTTAACCACTCGGCCATCACTGCTTGCTTTTATAGCTGTGAAAAAATAACATAGTGAAATAGGAATTAAAATAACCACTCGGCCATCACTGCTTGCTTTTATAGCTGTGAAAAAATAACATAGTGAAATAGGAATTAAAACCCGATCCCTCTCATGTGCTCACTATTTTCATAGCAATAGGAAGAAGCAAGAGAAGCACATTGTAAATATTGAACCCTGAGGTGACAACACCTTGACTAAACCCATCCCGTGCAAACCTAGCCCACGCATACAGTTGTCCAACATTAAGTTAAATTATTTGCCTGACAAAGAACACACTGTATTTTTTGTGAAAAATAGTTTAACGATATTCTGGACTATAAAACTGTCAAGTTTTTACTTTCCAGAGTAGAAATTAAAATATGTTGTGCAGCATGCTTGATAAATTACAGGGAAGGAATTTTTTGGCATTTATCTAATCTACAATGGCGTGAAGATTAGGCATATATATATATATATATATTATATTATATATATATATATTATATATATATATATATATAATATATATATATAATATATATATATATATATATATATATATATATATATATATATATATATATCGGCCGAATAGGCAGAACTTGCGATCTTGGTTTAAATAGCAACGCTCATCTTGCCATACAGGACAAGTGAAAATTTGTGTATGCAATAATTTCGCCAAAATCATTCTGAACCTAACGAAAAAAATATATATGATTGTGTTTGTTCAGTATTAAATTATTGTAATCGTATTTAAAATATATTTAGTTGGGTTAGGCTAAAATAAATTGCTCTTGTTATAATAAGGTTAGGTAAGTTTTCTAAGATGCTTTTGGTGAAAAGTTAAAATTTTTTACATTGACATTAATGAAAAAATATATCTTTAAACGTATAAGATAAAATTTTAGAAAGGACTTAATTTTAAATGAGTTCTTGCTAATTGACCAGTTTTACGTATTCGGCACGACATATATTTTATATATATATATATATATATATAATATATATATATATATATATATATATATATATATATATAATATATATATATATATATATATGTCGTGCCGAAGAGGCAGAACTTGCGATCTTGGCTTAAATAGCAACGCTCATCTTGCCATATAGGACAAGAGAAAATTTGAGTATGCAATAATTTCGCCAAAATCATTCTGAACCTAACGGAAAAAATATATTTCACTGTATTTGTTTAGTATTAAATTATTGTAAACAAATCTAAAATATATTTAGTTGGGTTAGGTAAGTTTTCTAAGATTCTTTTAGTGCAAAATTAAAAATTTTTACATCAACATTAATGAAAAAAATATATCTTTAAACGTATAAGAGAAAATTTTAGAAAGGGCTTAATTTTAAATGAGTTCTTGCTAATTGACCAGTTTTACATATTCGGCACGATATACATATATATATATATATATATATATATATATATATATATATATATATATATATATGATTTAATGATTTAAAATCATTATTAAACTCGTTTACTATATCAGTACTTCTTATAACTATTTATTAGATTAATGAATGGTGCATAAGTATCTAATTCATCAATTGAATAATCATCTGGCAATAAATTATTTGGGATACCGTCACCATATATGTAATCTGTGGTCATGATTTGTTCACTTAATCAAGGCAAAACATGTAATGAGTTCATTTGGATAAAATTAGTAGTGGAGATAAAATACAAAAATACGAATGAATTGTTGGGATTTCTTTTTAGATTATTCATATCGATATACGTATATGTGTAAGAATAGTATATCTTTTTGAAAATATTTATTCTAAACTTTCCTCTGTGAGTACGTGGCGAGTTAACTCGCAGGTATCTCAATGCAACAGTCTCCGGACAAGGAAAACTTGGGTTTAAAACCTCGTTACAGTACTCCTCCTATGGCAGTGTTATCGAGATGAAATCATATTATGGTACATATATAGTGCCGTGTGCCAGAGTCACTGTGGCCGGTGGTGTGGTGTGTATACTGGTGATCATGACATTCCCACAGGAACGTCCTCCAGGGCCTTACCCAATCGAGTTGGCAAGCAATGTTTCCAATATTGATTCCTTGCTACACTTTCACCAGTGCAGACCCTTGTTTACTATTGACAAAGGTTCATACGACACCATATGGAACACAGGCGAGTTTTTTATTTTACATTATCTACACATGTGCAAATTTTAAGTTAGACATAGTGAACTAAAATATTAATGAGTTGTACTGACAGTCATACCCAGTAATACAAGTGGCATTTCCTCCACTACAGTAGTACTATGTGATCTCAAGGTCAAAAGTATCATCTACAGATATTTTTATACCTATGGAGGAGACTCAAACGCTAAATTTATTCTAACAATTGTGTTCTCTGTCGTGTGATTTTAACCTCTAATGCATTATTTATTGCATTCGCCAAATCCGTATAGTTCACTGAGCACCTCTAATATGTGAACCTGATCCTGGTTCCCCACACAAGGCCCAGCTATCATATACACCTGTATAAAATATACAAAATATAAAAAAAGGAAAATATATAAAAAATAATATATGAAGAAATAATAAAAATATAAAGAAAAAAAATAATATATATATATACATATATATATATATATATATATATATATATATATATATATATATATATATATATATTATATATATATATATATATATATATATATATTATATGTCGTGCCGAATATGTAAAACTGGTCAATTAGCAAGAACTCATTTAAAATTAAGTCCTATCGAAAATTTTCTCTTATACGTTTAAAGATATATTTTTTTCATTAATGTTAATGCAAAAAATTTTAATTTTGCACCAAAAGAATCTTAAAAAACTTACCTAACCTTATTATAAACAAGAACAATTTATTTTAGCCTAACCCAACTAATATATTTTTAGATTTGTTTACAATAATTTAATACTAAACAAAAACAGTGAAATATATTTTTTTCGTTAGATTCAGAATGATTTTGGCGAAATTATTGCATACACAAATATTCGCTTGTCCTATATGGCAAGATGAGCGTTGCTATTTAAGCCAAGATCGCATGTTCTGCCTATTCGGCACGACAATATATATATATATATATATATATGTCGTGCCGAATAGGCAGAACTTGCGACCTTGGCTTAAATAGCAACGCTCATCTTGCCATATAGGACAAGTGAAAATTTGTTATTGCAATAATTTCGCCAAAATCATTCTGAACCTAACGCAAAAAATATATTTCACTGTGTTTGTTTAGTATTAAATTACTGTAAACAAATCTAAAATATATTTAGTTGGGTTAGGCTAAAATAAATTGTTCTTGTTATAATAAGGTTAGGTAAGTTTTCTAAGATTCTTTTGGTGCAAAATTAAAAATTTTTACATTAACATTGATGAAAAAAATATATCTTTAAACTTATAAGAGAAAATTTTAGAAAGGACTTAATTTTAAATGAGTTCTTGCTAATTGACCAGTTTTACATATTCGGCACGACATATATACACCCTCAGGGGTGCATTTATCACAGCAGAAATACGCTGAGAGTTTACAAGAATACTTTACACGAATACTTTAGTTCTTAAACTAGGGGTTAACTACGTTAGGGGATAAAGTTACTCCTGTGTGAGGGTGAAAATAACGGGTCATGTGAACGGTTAAGACTTGTGTCAGGGGGCACTTGTCCTCTTTCTTTCCAAACAAAACACTAAAGTGAAACCCTCACCGTGCAGCCTTAATGACCCACTGCAGCCGATAGGATTTAAATCTCATTAACCAAAGTATGAAGAAAGGAGAGACAAAAAATTACATCATAAGAATATATTTTATATAATATGTAATTGCTAAAAAAAAAAAAAAACTCTGAAGTCAATATGGTGATTGAAAAAAAAAGGTTTAAGAGTTAAATCTGTGACCATAAGATGGGAAGAAGTGTCTTTATGCTAGTTTAGGGCTTCTGATTAAGGCTTTGAAACTAACCCTCCCCTTCATCGGATCAGACCAGATTACCTTCCCTTGCCCCAAGTACTGTGTGACCCTTACGGGTCTAATGCTCTCCCATGAATATAATAATAAAAGAGATGTTGTATAGTACCTGTCTCTTGTAAAACAAGCAGAGCATCTTCTGGCGGTCTTATTCAACCAACATCGTAGTTTCTGGTCTTATTTACCCAACACTACTTTCTGGTCTTATACAATGAACTCTGCATCTTTCTGGCCTTTTGCAACAAGCATTGTACCTGTCTAAGTCTTATACAACAGAGTATCTTTATTTTCTTATGCAATAAATATTGTATCTTTCTAAGTCTTATTCGAAGAATAATGTATCTTTCTGATCCTATTACAGCATTCTATATTTCCTTCCAAATCTTGCATAACGATCATTATATATATCTCTGGGCTATAGAAGCGAGTTTGAACCCGATCCGTTTTTAACGTCATCACAAAGATTATTATTATTATTATTATTATTATTATTATTATTATTATTATTATTATTATTATTATTATTATTATTATTATTATTATTATTATTATTATTGTTATTATTATATCAACTATATAACCTTTCTATCGCAGCTTAAATCGTGCAAAAACTGACGCAATACAGCTCGTGTAAAATAAGAGAATTAATTGATAAATAGGTTGCATATGGTGTGATTAAAAAACTTCTCTATACAACTTATAGAAGATAAACGTAATAAAACAAGGAGGTTTTGAGTGGTTAGGGCTTGAGCATCCAAAAGGCCGGTGTGAGCGTGTTAGATCAGAGGATATTTGGCTTTTATGACATGACGTGGTCTTGGAATGTGAACGCGGCCATATTTATGAAGGGATTCAAAGAAACCAATAAGCCGGACTTCAATACTGGAGGTGGAAAGTACAGTGCTTGCACTCTGAGGAATGGGTGTGGATATCTGCCACCTTCTGGCAAGACAGTTGGTGAATGAATGATGGTGAATGAAATTCCTTTGTTTTTGGTCCTCCTGCCTTGGTGGGAGATGGTTGGTGTGGTAAAACTTAACAATTTAATGTCTGGATTACAGTGACAGTAGCAAGCTAGGACACATCAGTACTGCCTGTCACACTGGAACGTCATAACGATCCACACCCTTCCCACTCCTCCGTAAATATTGCTCATCTTGAACACACTGCATATTCAGCACTCAAGAATAAATAAACAGAAGCACTGCAATAGGCCTACTGGTCGATGCAAAAAAAAATCCAATTCACACGAACAACTTCCCACTTGCAAATCTTTCTAACCTCTTTTTATTATCACTTAAAATATTTTTTCCAGTGACGGTAATTGGCAGTGTACCACTCATCTACATTATTATTATTATTATTAATAGTAGTAGTAGTACAATAATCAGAAGAAAGCTCTAAACCACGTTGAAGGCAATTAAGTCCGATCTAAAAAAAAAGAGGGGAAGACATATCTTTTTCCTTGGATCAGGAGTTACTCACCGGCACTAAGGCACCTTGAGGGTTCCACTCATCTACAGTTATCTTGTCAAAACACACACACATAAACAAACACACACACACACACACACACACACACACACTCACACACACACACACACACACCCCACACACACACACACACACACACACACACACACACACACACACACAAACACACATCCAATGCCCCCACCCATTACATTACAAACTCCACCCCCACAGCAACAACCCATAGTTCCTTACCAGGTCTCCCACTTCCCCAACCCAATATACCTCCAGACCACAGTCTTAGAAAAGAAGTTGAAGGTGTGGTATACAAATGCAGATGGAATAACAAACAAGTATGAGGAGTGGCACGAAAGAATCAGAGACATCCCCAGACATAATAGCACTCACAGAAACAAAACTCACCAGAATAATAACAGATTCAATCTTTCCATCCGGATATCAAATCCTCAGGAAGACAGAGGGAGGAGAGGGGGAGGAGGAGTTGCACTGCTCATTAAAAACCAGTGGGGTTTTGAGAAAATGGAAGGAATGGATGGCACGGGCGAAAGGGACTACTTAGTAGGAACAATCCAGTCTGAGGGACATAAGGTGATAATTGCAGTAATGTACAACCCACCACAGAACTGCAGGAGGCCAAGAGAAGAATACGATGAGAGCAACAGAGCAATGATCGACACACTAGCCGAGGTGGCCAGGAGAGCACACATGGGGGGAGCAAAGTTACTAGTTATGGGTGATTTCAATCACAAGGAGATTGACTGGGAAAACCTGGAGCCCCATGGGGGTCCCGAAACATGAAGAGCCAAGATGATGGATGTGGTACTGGGAAACCTCATGCATCAACATGTTAGAGACACTACCAGAGAGAGAGGAGAGGATGAACCAGCAAGGCTGAACCTTGTATTCACCATGAGTAGTTCGGACATCGAGGGTATCATGTATGAAAGGCCCCTGGGAGCTAGTGATCATGTGGTTCTGTGCTTCGACTACATAGTTGAGCTCCAAGTGGAGAGAGTAGCAGGAATAGGCTGGGAAAAACCAAAGTACAAAAGGGGGAACTACTCAGGCATGAGGAACTTCCTTCAAGACATTCAGTGGGAGAGGGAACTGACAGGAAAACCAGTACAAGAAATGATGGACTATGTAGCAACAAAATGCAAGGAGGCAGAGGAGAGGTTTGTTCCCAAGGGAAACAGAAATAATGGGAAGAACAGAACGAGTCCTTGGTTCACCCAAAGGTGTAGGGAAGCAAAAACTAGGTGCACTAGAGAATGGAAAAGGTACAGAAGACAGAGAACTCAGGAAAATAAAGAAATCAGCCGAAGAGCCAGAAACGAATATGCACAGATAAGAAGGGAGGCTCAGAGACAATATGAAAATGACATAGCATCAAAAGTAAAGACTGACCCGAAGCTGTTGTATAGCCACATCAGGAGGAAAACAACAGTCAAGGACCAGGTAATCAGACTGAGGAAGGGTGATGGGGAATTCACAAGAAACGACCGAGAGGTTTGTCAGGAGCTCAACACAAGATTTAAAGAGGTATTTACAGTGGAAACCAGTAGGACTCCAAGAAATCAGAACTGGGGGGCACACCAGCAAGTGCTGGATGAGGTACATATAACCAAGGAGGAGGTGAAGAAGCTGCTTTGCGAACTTGACACCTCAAAGGCGGTGGGACCAGACAACATCTCTCCATGGGTCCTTAAAGAGGGAGCAGAGATATTGTGTGAGCCATTAACAAAGATCTTCAACACATCATTTGAAACTGGGCAACTCCCTGAGGTATGGAAAATGGCAAATGTAGTCCCAATTTTTAAAAAGGGAGACAGACATGAGGCACTAAACTACAGACCTGTATCACTAACGTGTATAGTATGCAAGGTCATGGAGAAGATCATCAGGAGGAGAGTGGTGGCGCACCTGGAAAGAAACAAGTGTATAATTGACAACCAGCACGGTTTCAGGGAAGGAAAATCCTGTGTCACAAACCTACTAGAGTTTTATGACAAGGTGACAGAAGTAAGACAAGAGAGAGAGGGGTGGATCGACTGCATATTTTTGGACTGCAAGAAGGCCTTCGACACAGTTCCTCACAAGAGGTTACTGCAAAAGCTAGAGGATCAGGCACACATAACAGGAAAGGCACTGCAATGGGTCAGAGAATATCTGACAGGGAGGCAACAACGAGTCATGGTACGCGACGAGGTGTCAGAGTGGGCGCCAGTGACAAGCGGGGTTCCACAGGGGTCAGTCCTAGGACCTGTTCTGTTCTTGGTATATGTGAACGACATAACGGAAGGGATAGACTCAGAAGAGTCCTTGTTTGCAGATGATGCGAAGTTAATGAGAAGAATCAAATCGGACGAGGATCAGGCAGGACTACAAAGAGACCTGGACAGGCTACAAGCCTGGTCCAGCAACTGGCTTCTTGAATTTAACCCTGCCAAATGCAAAGTCATGAAGATTGGGGAAGGGCAAAGAAGACCGCAGACACAATATAGTTTAGATGGCCAAAGACTGCAAACCTCACTCAAGGAAAATGATCTGGGGTGAGTATAACACCGAGCATATCTCCTGAGGCACACATCAATCAGATAACTGCTGCAGCATACGGGCGCCTGGCAAACCTACGGATAGCGTTCCGATACCTCAGTAAGGATTCGTTTAAGACTCTGTATACCATCTACGTCAGGCCCATACTGGAGTATGCAGCACCAGTTTGGAATCCACACCTAGTCAAGCACGTCAAGAAATTAGAGAAAGTGCAAAGGTTTGCAACAAGACTAGTCCCAGAGCTACGGGGATTGTCCTACGAAGAAAGGTTGCGGGAAATCGGCCTGACGACACTGGAGGACAGGAGGGTCAGGGGAGACATGATAACGACATATAAAATACTGCGCGGAATAGACAAGGTGGACAAAGACGGGATGTTCCAGAGAAGGGACACAGACACAAGAGGTCACAATTGGAAGTTGAAGACTCAGATGAATCAAAGGGATGAGGAAGTATTTCTTCAGTCATAGAGTAGTCAGGCCATGGAATAGCCTAGAAAGGGATGTAGTGGAGGCAGGAACCATGCATAGTTTTAAGGCGAGGTATGATAGAGCTCATGGGGCAGGGAGAGAGAGGACCTAGTAGCAATCAGCGAAGAGGCGGGGCCAGGAGCTGACTCGACCCCTGCAACCACAAATAGGTGAGTACAAATAGGTGAGTACACACACACACACACACACACACACACACACATATATATATATATATATATATATATATATATATATATATATATATATATATATATATATATATGTATATATATATATATATATATATATATATATATATATATATATATATATATATATATATATATATATATATATATATATATATATATATATATATATATATATATTATATATATATATATATATATATATATATATATATACATATATATATATATATATATATATATATATATATATATATATATATATATATATATATATATATATATATATATATATATATATATATATGTAGGAGGGTGGGTGCAGGAGGAAAGAGGAGTGATTGGTGGAATGATAAAGTAAAGAGTGTGATAAAAGAGAAAAAGTTAGCTTATGAGAGGTTTTTACAAAGCAGAAGTGTTATAAGAAGAGCAGAGTATATGGAGAGTAAAAGAAAGGTGAAGAGAGTGGTGAGAGAGTACAAAAGGAGAGCAGATGAAAGAGTGGGAGAGGCACTGTCAAAAAATTTTAATGAAAATAAGAAAAAAATTTGGAGTGAGTTAAACAAGTTAAGAAAGCCTAGAGAACGAATGGATTTGTCAGTTAAAAACAGAGTAGGGGGAGTTAGTAGATGGGAAAATGGAGGTTTTGGATAGATGGCGAGAATATTTTGAGGAACTTTTAAATGTCGACGAAGAAAGGGAAGCGGTAATTTTATGCACTGGCCAGGGAGGTATACCATCCTTTAGGAGTGAAGAAGAACCGGATGTGAGTGTGGGAGAGGTGCGTGAGGCATTACGTAGAATGAAAGGGAGTAAAGCAGCTGGAACTGACGGGATCATGACATAAATGTTAAAAGCAGGGGGGGATGTAGTGCTGGAGTGGTTGGTATTTTTGTTTAATAAATGTATGAAAGAGATTGTAAATGTATGAAAGAGATTGTAAAAATTATAGAGGAATAAGTTTACTGCATATACCAGGAAAAGTGTACGGTAGGGTTATAATTGAAAGAATTAGAGGCAAGACATAATATAGGATTGCAGATGAGCAATGAGGTTTCAGAGTGGGTAAGGGATGTGTAGATCAAGTGTTTACATTGAAGCATATATGTGAACAGTATTTAGATAAAGGTAGGGAAGTTTTTATTGCATTTATGGATTTAGAAAAGGCATGTAATAGAGTGGATAGGGGAGCAATGTGGCAGATGTTGCAAGTATATGGAATAGGTGGTAAGTTATTAAATGCTGTAAAGAGTTTTTATGAGGATAGCGAGGCTCAGGTTAGGGTGTGTAGAAGAGAGGGAGACTACTTCCCGGTAAAAGTAGGTCTTAGACAGGGATGTGTAATGTCACCATGGTTGTTTAATATATTTATAGATGGGGTTGTAAAAGAAGTAAATGCTAGGGTGTTCGGGAGAGGGGTGGGATTAAATTATGGGGAATCAAATACAAAATGAGAATTGACACAGTTGCTTTTTGCTGATGATACTGTGCTTATGGGAGATTCTAAAGAAAAGTTGCAAAGGTTAGTGGACGAGTTTGGGAGTGTGTGTAAAGGTAGAAAGTTGAAAGTGAACATAGAAAAGAGTAAGGTGATGAGGGTATCAAATGATTTAGATAAAGAAAAATTGGATATCAAATTGGGGAGGAGGAGTATGGAAGAAGTGAATGTTTTTAGATACATGGGAGTTGACGTGTCGGCGGATGGATTTATGAAGGATGAGGTTAATCATAGAATTGATGAGAGAAAAAAGGTGAGTGGTGCGTTGAAGTATATGTGGAGACGAAGAACGTTATTTATGGAGGCAAAGAAGGGCATGTATGAAAGTATAGTAGTACCAACACTCTTATATAGGTGTGAAGCTTGGGTTGTGAATGCAGCAGCGAGGAGGCGGTTGGAGGCAGTGATGTCCTGTCTAAGGGCAATGTATGGTGTAAATATTATGCAGAAAATTCGGAGTGTGGAAATTAGGAAGTGTAAAATTAATAAAAGTATTAGTCAGAGAGCTGAAGAGGGGTTGTTGGGGTGGTTTGGTCATTTAGAGATGACCATTGCATTGTTAATATCTCTAGTAAGGCTGATGCATGCAGGGGATGAGATGAAAAGCTGTAAGCCTTCTCCCTGAAAGCTGGCTGCCTTGGATCAAAGTCTAGCGCAAGCTGGACTCCAAGGTATTGTCCAGTGTGGGTAGATTGGTAAAGCACTGCGTACCTTGTTCCAAGGTTCGTAGGTTCGAGTCTCCTTCAGCCAGAGATCAGTGTTTGTGTATATTTCGCCTGCTCTTGCGAATTCCTTATATATATATATATATATATATATATATATATATATATATATATATATATATATAATATATATATATATATATATATCCCTTCATTTACTTTTATTTTCAGTTTGTACACTTTCAGAATATTATTCATTATGTTCTAAGTTTATTTCTCTTAATCTACTTTCGAAGGAAAAATTCCCGATAGAGATAAACTTGCCATTTATAAAACTGTGACCAGTATTGCGCTTTACAATCGATAGTGGCCTTATCAGTTGTACTCTGCTTATAATAATTTTTACTGCACTTATAACCAATTATATAAAGCCAAGGAATCTATTATTTTATGAGAAATATGCATAACTGTTTTTGCTTGAGATTTCTGCTACCCGGAACTAAGGTCTCTCTTGTCCAGTACGACTGAATTCTATCTCATGTAGTTCCTAGTTGTCCACGAATATTTTCTATTCTTGACCCTTCAGATCGGGGACATTTGTCCGTACTGAATGGCTTGTCTTGTAGGATCCTGGTGCAGGGCCACCGTGGTGACAACAATGTTGTCTAATTAGTCTCCTCTTTCCCTAGATTCACCATACCAAGAGCTCAGTCGTCACCTACCATCACTATTTGTGGAGTCTCCGGTGAGGCGGAGCGCTAACGATAGCCAGCCAGCTTCCATCTACCCAGGGACACGACTCGACCTCCTGAATGGCTCAGTACCCTTCATTCCCTGCCGAGTGAGTCTGCTGGTTGCCCCGCTAGTCTGCGATCCTTTATTCTGAAAACAAAAACAAATGCACTCTTATCTGTTAGGAGTTTATCATTAGACACATTTCAATCGCCAGGAGCAAAACTTATTCTAATAAAAAGTTTCCCAATGCTTCCTATGTGCGTGTTTTACACAAAAATTTACATATTAATTTGTTTGGATATACTCTGGTCCTCAAACATCTTGGTCTCTACTTGCTATATAAACAATGATGTAGTAAAAACAAGAAATCTTTCACCCTGACTGCATAATACCTTATCGAAATGTGAAATAAATGAAGATTTAACTATCATTCAAAAAGTGTGCAAGACGTAAAGTCAAAATTAATATTCTTTGGTACTATATAATTATATTTTAATAAAGTATAAAAGGTCAGTTAACTGCAGAGATGACTAAAACATGGAGACAGCAGAAGCTGTGGGGAGGTAAAAATGTTGTCAGAACATCAGCTATGAAGAAGACATCCTGAGGTGGTCCATCCCTTAGCCTGTGTTGCTTGCAGGTGAAGCAATACGAGGCAGGGGAGTTGGAGGCGTGTACCGCCGCCAGGAGAGCCAGAGGTGCCACCACTTGGGTGGCTTTTGTAGGTGACTCCACCATGAGGCAGAAGATTCATTCCTTCCTGAGCTTCCTGCCGCCCCAGCTGACTTACACCTATCTCATAGGTGACACAGAGGTGAGAGTCGTCTGTGTCGCAGTTGTCAGTCTGTACTGAAAATAATAATAGTGTTAATATTATTATTATTATTATTATTATTATTATTATTATTATTATTATTATTATTATTATTATTATTGATGTTATTATTAATATTATTTTTTATTAATATTATTATTATTGCTAATAGACTCATGGAGAAAAAAACTAAGCCTGTACATGTTAAACACTAATATTCACGAGGAAGCGCTAAACCCCTAGGGGTCATAAAGCGCATGGATAGGTAGAGGAAATTGACAGGGGGGGGTTAAACAGCACCTGGAAAATAGGAGCTAATCAGATTCGATCCAAGGAAGATGAGGAAAAAACTCCAGTTTCTTGAATCAAGAGCCTTCACAGGCATGACGGGAAATACATGTATAGAGTATTAAGAGAAAAGTGAGATACACTTTTGTGATAATTCAAACACTACTAAAAGTATTGAATATCTTGCTATTAAATACCCCAGTATGATAACACCATAGCAAGTGTGTTATCAGTCATCTCGTACATATAAAGATAACACGTCTCATGTGTGTTATCAGTTATCACATATAAAACACACCTAAGGAGTGTAAGGTAATCAGCTCGACAAGCTGAGACAGTACCGTCCGTCTAACGATAAGCGGACGGAGTATCGAGCCTCCACCACACTCTGAATGATCCAGACGGGTTTAGTGCTTCACGTGAATTTAAGAGTGATCCCATTCCTTGGATCACGAGACCTTAATTGTCACTGCATCCCCCTCATGATAGGTTCCTGAGAGTTGAAACTTATTCAAGATGGCTGAGGTGTCCGCTCTCTGGTAGAAAAGTATTTAGTTTTGGTCGTGTCACTATTCTCTCGTTTTCAGCCTTAATGGCACGTAAGTTCCCACGTCTTCTAATAACATGTTTATTTGTCCACTATAATCTACCCTGTCCATAATTATTATCGCATTTGTTTTGTCTGTATCGTAAGGTGAAGTCCAGGACCTTTCCTTAATTAATGATATAAATTAACAAATCTTTGAGGACAGTTGTGCTGTAGAGGTCTGAGAAAAGCTCAGACCTCTACAACACTATTGTTATCAATTATTTGTTAAGTTATACCATGAATTAAGGAAAGATCCTAGACTTCACCTCACGGAACAGACAAAGCAAATGCGATAATAATTATGGACAAGGTAGATTATAGTGGACAAATAAACATGTTATTAGAAGACGTGGGAACTTACGCGTCTCTTAATGTTAAGGTGTAATTATATTGAAATGTTACCGTGTATATTAGTTATAAAGATTGTTATTATATTCATATGAAGGCTGATTCTGTGTAGGCCATTCAAAGCAAAGGATTGTAGGAATAAGACACACATGCTCAGTTAAGACAATCAGAAGGTGTTTTGAGAATAAAAAGGCACTTGTAAGAAACTTATGACGGACCGAAATGTCGTTATAAGTTTCATTCTATGTGCGGGTTGTGCAATGAATGTTATGATTGTACATATGTGTCTTATTCCCACAATCTGTCGGTGTTATCACACCTGTACTTGAAGTGCAGTGAATAGTGGAGGCTCTATCCTCCGTCTGCTGACAGTAAAACAAACGTTAGCCGTGTGGCCAAACTCGTGGTTGACATCAGTCATGGAGGTGATTCAGTCCCAGGAGGGAGGATCGAGCCTCCAGTGTTTCACACAACTACTACATAATATACATATCACAGTTATTAAGGAGAACTAGGCGCATGGCAAACTTCACTAGGTAACCAAGTCATAGAATAATTATGAAACATCGACAAAGGCTGTAACTGAAATTAGCTGTCAGCTGTCTAAACCGATTAGAAGAGCATATCACATTTACTCGTAAGAACATAAGAAAGGAGGAACACTGCAGCAAGCCTACTGACTGATACTTGGCAAGTCCCTGTCAAACTCAAACCCACTAACAAAAATATTCTCCCAACCCATTATCAATGTTACTCAAGGAATAAGCTTTGATAACCCTATTAACTCAAGTACAAATCCCACTCAAATTCAACCCCTCTCACCCTTGTAGTTATCTAACTGTAAATGTATGACAAGGACTTAACTAGTTAGTAAATCGTAATATATTTACAGGTGACGCTGGAAGACTTTACCTTGGCTGTGTCTCGCCCTGAACACAAGCCTCAAACATACGACGTTCTAGGTCACCGAACCTCTACAACCACAACCTCGTCCTCCACCTCGCAGCCCACACGCTCCCACCCCACACAATGCAAGTGGATACCACAGTAGTAACGGAAGCAGCCACACTCCTGCTCAACGCACTGATGGTGAATACAACAGTGCGAATCGTGGCATGCACATTGTAAATAACAGAAACACAGGTCGGAAGATATATGATGTACACAGCAGTAATAACGGAACGTTTCTTAAAAACCCTGAAAAAACGAAAATAAATTCTGCCGGGATAAAAAATAAGGGAATCATTGAATATTCCAGTAAACCATTACTCGAGGCGGACACCCGCCTTGAGTCCTATGACCTGCGAGTTACATTAGTATGGGCGCCGACTGGGTCTACGATGGACCACCCGACTCCAAGAACCGGCCGGAAGGTCACCAAGCTGCACGACTTGGCCACAGCAATAGTCGTGCCTGACGTCGTAGTTGTAGGTAAGGTTCTCCCTTCCCTCGCGTTTTGTGTACGGTGGAGTCAGGCTTATATTTGTAACAATGAAATAAAGATCTGTGGCGAGCATTTTTCTGTGTATATGAAAAATCCTACTTATTGATAGCAGGATTAACTAAGCAGAAATGCCTATCTTTTTTTATAAATCTCCTTACATCTCCGAAAGCACCCATGCCATGATTATTATAGTAATATACTAAGAACTTATTGACTTGGAGACGGAAAAGAAATTATTTCTTGGAAGACTTGTTCGAAAACTTAGTCCGCACTTTCTCAATGAGCCTTTCATGACGAAGCGGCAGGAAGTGTGAGGCCGGTGTCCAGATTTTCTGTCTCCTTGAAGATGGCGGAACCAGTTGTCAGAGATGAGTGTCAGCCATTTCGAACGATCACGAGTATAGGACAGGAGAGGACGAGGAGAGGACTGCAAGTTATGTTATTTGTATAAGTATGACCATAATTTTTAAAGTGGTGGACCGGTAAGCCAGCGGAATTCCTCGATCAGATGACAAGAAGTTCCAAGACGGGTCATCATCTGACTAAGACCCGTATCAGGAGACACATGTTCTGTTTCCTGACGAACCTTACCTAACCTAACCGAATTACCCATTCATAAATACCTCTTGTATCTACGGAATCGAAGCTATACTCAGATGTCTGTCTTCAATAACAAATTTATCATTTCATTTCTCATTATTTGATTGAAAGCATTCTTGAAGCTTAATTTTAATACTAGCTTATTTTCTATGTAAGCTGCTGCTTCAGTATGCGGCACAGGAATAGGTAGGCCTTACTCTACATAAATTTCAACGTGCCTCGCCTGTTTCTCGAAGCGCACACTAACCTTATTGAGGGGCCATACAACCAAACTCATTTGGTCGAAGTTTCGTGGTAACTTTTCAACGAATACCTTGAAAGATCGCTTTGTTGTCAAAGTCAATGAATCTGATTCAGTTCTTTTTTTAGGTGTATAAGGATGTGCCGAATAAGAAAGGCTGAATTCTGTCAAATATTTGACGTTCCAGTTAGTTGCATAAATATTAATAACATACTGCATTGTCGTAATTTCATGTAAAAAGATACAGGAGCAACTAATGAGACATTTCTTATGGAACGTTTAGCTGTCCAGGAGTTTTATCAAATCAATACAAACAACAAAAACGAACACGGAAGATTCAGAGCTGACGAAGCTGCCTTTGTTCTGTTTAACTTTGTCTGAAATGTCGAATAAGGACGCACTTTCGTCTGAGGCTGTTAATTTTTTTAAACCCTAAGCGGACATCATTCCAACATATCAAGTGGCTGGCAGTGTTCTGGTGTTGTGCCAACACGTTGTTCAGACTGTATATATATACATTCATTCAGACGTGTTCCAAGACATATGCCTTGTCACAGGCGCCACAAAGAATTATGTAAACCTCTGTCTTAATTGGTTCAAGGTTCGCCAATTTAGTTTTGGTGAGGTCTTTGGTGAATGTGCCAGATACTATGGCGACTCTAGTGTTGTCTTGTACGAGTGCATTAGAGGCGTTCGGAGCAACTTGACTGTTGAGAAGAAGAATAACTATGTAATGTAATGGGCTCGTTTCTTACAGTCTTTGACGAGAAATGTAAATGTAGTGCAGTGAAGGTTTGGTTTGGCTGTTGGTCAAGATTATGATATCAAATAGGAAGATCTCTGAAGCTACACCAAGAGCTACATTAACTTCCTCTTAAACATGCTGAAAACTTGTGTTACTCCACGAAAGGGCAATACGGGAATGACTCAGTCGCTTTGTAAATTTCTGAATCTTGCCAAAAAAAATAGTGTCTAGGGTGGAAGCATATTGTTGGTGCCACTGGCTTGGGTACTTTTCTTTCAATATTGGGGTTGTCGCATTATGTCTTAGAGCGATATTATCCTTTCTGGTAAATGATCATACGTGATGCTATCTTTAAAAAGGTGCAGAACTGAGTTCTGTGTTTCCCATCATCATTTGCTATGTAACTGATTTCAAAATACTGTAAAAGAACCAATTCGTGTGTGACGGGTCGTGGTACATGATCCATCTATCTGGATTTATTACTTGATCTTAGTTACCATATCTTCCTTTATGACTATATGTAATTATTACTAATCTCATAATTTCCGACGCATATTGTCTTACACTCAGTCATTCATCATCGCTCCTTTATTGTGCCAAAGGTTTAGGAACGTGGGTACTCTTAATGCGTGAACACCATGACGAGTTGGTGCCGTTCACGGAGCTCGACCTGCTCGTTCGTCCTGTGATGCGCCCCCTCGCTCTCCTGGCTGCCAGGACCCCCCTTCTCGTCTGGGCCCAGAGTAGGTAAGATCTACAATCATACTTTTTAATATATATATATATATATATATATATATATATATATATATATATATATATATATATATATATATATATATATATAACTAGGTGCATCGATAGTTACAGTAAAATAACGCCTTTTTCCCCCTCAATAAAACTGTCAAAGTGGTAAGAACTCTTACTGGAGGTAAAAACCTAGTGCAGGTGACGTATTTCTCATTACTGATAATTTAGGGATAACTTACAGATATTATAATAATGTAGGACCTTCAAGTGTTTGAAGGCTTAGGGCCAACATAACTACAAGTTTCATATATTTTGTATTAATATTGGTAGAATTACTGACAATATGTTAATTAAGTAAAGGACACAAATGCAACTAATGTGACATTTTATTGTGGAAACTTTTCGCTCTCCTGGAACTTTGTATTGTTTGTAAAGGATTGACAAAGCTCCTGGAGAGCGAAACGTTGCCACAATAAATTGTCACATTAGTTGTATCTGTGTCCTTTTACTTTTCATATGAGATAAGGTACATGATCACCAACGGAAATGGTATGGGGGAGCGGAAATGAAGGAATGTGAAAAAGTGTTAGGGGCCTTAGTGTTAGCCAGGGAACCGGGAAAAGTAAAGTTGGGAACTTTGTGTAAATTGTTAGAGGGACATGTAGTGGCGCCGGTTGAAGGGATCTACCCCATGTATGCATGGGATGTAATATGGCAAAGATTTAGTAAATTAAGGATACGACCTAGGGCCCGTGCGGTTATGTATCGTTTCCTACATGGTATATTGCCAACGGGAGCGATGCTCCGAGATAGGAAGGTCATCGAGGGTGGGGGGTGTGGCAGATGCAGTATCATGTTGTCTATTTTGTGAAGGTTTGGAGTGCATCAGGGTATGGATGAGTAAGGTAGTGGCAAGGGTGGGGGGTCATGGTGTGTCGGTATTGCGAGCGTTGAGTCTTGATATGAGTGGGGTGGATGAGGGTGTGGCAAGGGGTTTAGCATATACAATCGTAGACTACATATATGTTTTGTGGGGTATGAGGGGAAAGGAGGGTGGACATAAATGACAGTTTAAATATATAACATTTATAAATATATAACATATAAGTGTATAACATGAATATTTTCTTTGGTAGCGAATTATGTCCCGCTTGTATTGGTCTTACAAGTGAATTTTAACTTTTCTTGAGAGGGTATTCCTTTCACTATGTTCCTTGAAACTCTGAGGTTTTTTGCAATTTTTGTAACGTGTTCCTGCATCACTTTTGAAGTAATTACCTATTATGTAATCATGTGTGAATAAGGATTAGTAACCTAAATTAATATTCATTGTATATTTATTTGTATGTAATACTAGTTAGGCACGTGCTAGAAGGCACAGCGAATGTCTAGTCTCGTGGAATGTGTGTTAAGTTTTGGTATGTTTGTATGTGGCGTATTAGATGTTGTAAGGAGTTTGTTATGGTGTTGTTATCTTACTAAAATCACGAGGAAACATTTGATAATCTTATTCATGTCCTAGTCTTTGTTTCTTTTAAAATATTTACATATCCTAGTATTTTACCGATAATGTAGCATGTGGTGTATTTTCTTTCATTTTAAGTGTGAACTTCACTTTATGCAATGTTGTTATAAAAGCTTGAATTTCATGGTTGTTACATTAATATAGATATTATATATTGACGGTGTATATTCTTCTACTTAATAAAGGTGTATGGGTGTATAGGCATGTAATGCTCATATCTGTTTTAGTCTGTAATTTTATGTTATTGTGTTTTGTTGTTCATGCACCACCAACTTTTGGTAAATACTCATTAAGTTTTTGATGAGGTCAGGGTATGATCCTAAATTTTAGGATAATTAAGGTATGTTTCTTAGAACGGTGAATGTAAATATTTTAAGAGGGGGGGAGAAGTGTCAGCTGAGTGGCTACACTGGCAATAGTAATTATTGTAAAAGGAGGGTTTGTAGGATATGTTGTGGGTAGTGTATCTGGTTGTAATATGGCCATTATCTATAGTGTTTATTTTCTGTACTGGGATTGTGTAATAGAGGTTATTGTTAATATCCAGTATAGTTTTTAATTTTATTATACTCTTATACATCTTTGCATTTGTTCTGTTTTAAATAAAAATAAAAAGGAAAAAACTTTTCATATATTTTCTTCATACTTATTATGACTCTAATTATTGTGAAGTGAGTGTAGATATTCTCCCATAAGTAGGAATCAGTACGTTAGCTTACCTAAATTTTGTAATCTGATCTGTATATTACTATTTGTTGAATATAGAGACGGCAGGAAAGTGCCTACACTGGAGTTCCCAATGGAAATAAGTCACGATGACCTTATTGGGTTAAATCTTTATAATTTATCATCATTCTCAATGAAAACTATGTGATTACAGCCGTTTTTGTGCTTATTAAATTGTAAAATCCCCTGTATCTAGCCTGAATAGGTTTAATGGTATTTTCCACATAAGAGTCGTCCAGCTGTGAGCACTGTTTCGATCAAAGCAGAGAATGCCTCTTCTTAATTAAACTTTGGAATCGGTTTTGGGCTATGTAAATTCCAATTTACCATCTTTTTTATCGAAGGAATCAGAATGTTAATTTCCATGTGAGAGCCTAAGAAGGCCTCATCTGACTGACTTCAAATCTCCAGTACTGATATTTACCTTCATTAAAAACTTATGCCGCACTTTATACCACTCCTTTTTGAATGAACTGAGCTAGAGGGGGCTGGGCGTGGGGTACACTGGGAGACCTCGGATCGCGCAGCCACTGAAATGCATCTATAAGCAAATAACCCGCACATAAGAGAAGCTGATGATGACGTTCCGGTCCGACTTGGACCATTTACAAGTCACACTAACACACGAGGGTGACGGAGCCAGTATATACCTAGGCGAGGTAAACAGAGATAGGACAAAGAGAGAGAGAAAGAAGGAAGTGGAGAAGTAGCGGCAGAGGTACAGCATCTAGGTTATCCTGAGGCTACCTGTTTATATTCCCTTCATAAAAGGTGCCTTGGTGTAGGTGAAGCCTACTCATAGAATTTCAATTTGCTTGACTTCCATTACTTAGGAGATGAATGACTCCCTACTGGTTTATCCCATCCTTTTTATTTATATTTTTGATCAACATTGTAATGTTACAGCAGATTTATTTCCAGTGGTGCACTAGTGTAGTTCATATTGCCATTGTTACCATTGCTCAAGCTGTTAGATACCACTGAGTCACATTACCCTTGTTACCAATGCTCTCTGCCAGGTACCACTGTTTCATATTACCCTTGTTACCAATGCTTTCTGCCAGGTACCACTGTTTCATATTACCTGTGATACTAATGCTTTCTGCCAAGTACCATTGGTTCATATTACCCTTGTTACCAATGCTCTCTGCCAGATACCGCTGTTTCACATTACCATTATTCACGTTGCCAGGTACCGCTGGTTCAACTTCGAAAGTCCAAAAGCCTCTGCAGGCATCCAGAATCTCAAGGCGCAGTGGGGAAATATGTTGTACTTCAGCCAGTTCAACGACACCATCCCTTTCACCGACTCCTGGCTTTGGAGACAACTAAGGTCCGTCACCTCCACCATCTACCTGTGAATGGTGATGAATGACCCTCTCTCTCTTGACCCCAGTGATGTATTCTCCGGTGTGGGTCGAGAAATAGAATTGCGATAAGTCTCACATTCAGTTCACTAATGGTTACTGCAATGTTTCTCAGTGTCAGTACTAAATTCTAATTAGAACGATTATATTTTAATGTTTTTCTTTACCTGCCATTTTATTATTATTATTATTATTATTATTATTATTATTATTATTAGTAGTAGTAGTAGTAGTAGTAGTAGTAGTAGTAGTAGTAGTAGTAGTAGTAGGGGTAGAAGTAATACATATAAGGGGCAGCGCCTGGGGAAATGGAAGGCATTCAGGATCGATTCAAGGAATTAGAATACGTATTGGTTCAATTTCTTAGATCAAGAGCCCATCACTTACATCAAGAACCCTCCTTGTAGGAGCTTACCAAGTATAGTGTAACCGGGTATAACAAATGAACAATATTTCTAGAAGTATACTTCTCTAGAGTTAATATTTTATATCATATGAAAAACCTTAATATTTCACTTTTTTTAGTTTTTAAACATTTTTAGGGAATTCAAATTTTTTCAAATAAAATTAAGATATTTTTGGTTAAAAAAAGAGCATTTTATAGATTTAATCATCAGTTTGGCTGTGAATGATGAATTATTATCCCTATCAACATTTATTGGCTATAAATGATAAATTATACTTCATTTCTGGTGTATGACACACTGACAGGTACGTATATTTCACTAACACTCTGGAACATATACCAAAGGCACTACCTTCCCTTCCTCCCTTCAAGGAAGGTAGAAGGGGCTTTGATACCAGTGAACGGCTCTTTATCAAAACTGATTCTCATATCCTAGGCTCTCCATTGCTCCTATGGGTTTCGCGCTCACTCGTGGTAATAATAATAATAACAGTAATGGTGGTAGCAGTAGTAAAGAACAAAAAAGCACAATACTCTGACCGGTACAATACACAAATAACTTGTATATAGGAGAAAGAAGCTTATGACTACTTTTCGGTCCGACTTGGGCCATTTACGAGTCACTTGTAAATGGTCCAAGTCGGACCGAAGCGTCTGTCTCTCCTATGTGCGGGTTATCTGTGTATTGTAGTAGCAGTAGAAGTTAATGTAGTAGAATTAGTAATGATAATATTGGTGGTGGTGGTGGTGGTGTAGTAGTAGTAGTAGTAGTAGTGGTAGTAGTGGTAGCAGTAGTAGTAGTAGTAGTAGTAGTAGTAGTAGTAGTGGTAGTAGTGGTAGCAGTAGTAGTAGTAGTAGTAGTAGTGGTAGTAGTGGTAGCAGTAGTAGTAGTAGTAGTAGTAGTGGTAGTAGTGGTAGCAGTAGTAGTAGTAGTAGTAGTGGTAGCAGTAGTAGTAGTAGTAGTAGTAGTAGTAGTAGTAGTAGTAGTAGTGGTAGTAGTGGTAGCAGTAGTAGTAGTAGTAGTGGTAGCAGTAGTAGTAGTAGTAGTAGTAGTAGTAGTGGTAGTAGTGGTAGCAGTAGTAGTAGTAGTAGTAGTGGTAGTAGTGGTAGCAGTAGTAGTAGTAGTAGTAGTAGTAGTAGTAGTAGTGGTAGTAGTGGTAGCAGTAGTAGTAGTAGTAGTAGTGGTAGCAGTAGTAGTAGTAGTAGTAGTAGTGGTAGTAGTGGTAGCAGTAGTAGTAGTAGTAGTAGTAGTAGTAGTGGTAGTAGTGGTAGCAGTAGTAGTAGTAGTAGTAGTAGTAGTAGTAGTAGTAGTAGTAGTGGTAGTAGTGGTAGCAGTAGTAGTAGTAGTAGTAGTAGTGGTAGTAGTGGTAGCAGTAGTATTAGTAGTAGTAGTAGTAGTGGTAGTAGTGGTAGCAGTAGTAGTAGTAGTAGCAGTAAAAATAATGCTTACTGAAGAGAGCACTGTCTGCAGGTCAACAGGAGCGTGGCAGTGGGACTCCAGTTTACCCTTCAATCTTGCTAACGTGCGAGAGTGTCACCAACTGAGTATGAAACAATATACTCACACTCATGGCAATGGCAAGTGATGCATACTGTCTATTTTCGTCTTATACTGAGTAGATACTTTTGAAAAGGCAACACTGGTATCGAGAAGGAACTATCTCATTTAAAAAAAAAAATCAAAATCATGGTTCAGAACGTTACTGCGGAATCGAAGAGATTGGATCATTATAATTAACCCGTTTCTCATATGCATGAGGTATGGAAATGATGAATTCAGTTTGTCATTATTGATTTTTGGGTGGCGTGTATATGGCAATATAGTTGCAGACATAATGGCAAGGCTCTAAACACTGAGGCAGATTGGCAAGAATGAGCAAAACTGGTGATCGGAGTTTATAACACGGGACGAAGATCCTTGGCTGGTCCACGTGTATCAGAAGCTTTATGATTTTCCTGGCATATTGTTTTAAGAATGTTGTGAAAGAATGACTCGCGAAGTCGCAATGACATGATTTTAAACCCACCAAACTGAGGGTTCGAACCCATGATAAGACACTCGTAAAACTAGCTGGTCAGTGGGTAATCTGCTGTGCAATGCAGGTCTAATATGATTCATCCAACTAGGTGTATTTCTGCATACACTAAGATAAATATGGGCCCAACTAAGACTAAAAAATGCAGCTTTTTTACAGGCAAGGGTTGCCAAGGGTTCGAACCCTCCGTTCGAACCCGTTATTGTAAAAGTTTATCCACCAGCTGATAAATAGTCAGCGATAATAAAAAAATTAGGAAAACAGGCATCCATCTTGACAACTTGAGGTCGTCATGTAAAATAATGAAACAATAAGGTA